ACATTTTTCGCCCACGACAACGTATATGCGAGGGGACAAATTTTGTAAGATTGTGTGAGAGGGGACAAATTGAGAAAAATATTTCGACTGATATTGCTAAAATGCCAGATATCAGCATTGCGGGAACCGATTTTATTGGGCAAAGGCTCATTGTAAAGAGAAAAAAAAATAAAAAATATTGGACCTGACACATTTTTCGCCCACGACATATACCCGCAGATAATTCAAGTTATTTCATCGTAGCAGACGAAAAAACGCCAACTTGGCGTCAATAAGAGTAGCGGTAGCGTCTCGTGAGGAGGCCGATTTTTTCTTTTATACTTGGCGTCGAGACGCTACCGCGTCTCTTGATTGATTACCTTTACCTTATCGTAGAGAAAGTTATTTTAATGAAAGCACGCGCTGTCATATGTCAGCCAGAGAAGCTAAAATTGCAATCGCTATAACTCGTGAACTATCCAGCTGAATTAGTCTAATTTTTTTGTATGAAATTTATAAGAAATCGGTTACAGTTTTAATTTTCTAAAAGATTTTTACGAAGAATTACTTAGCGTTACGAACAATTAATAACATGGCATTTTTTATAACATTTTTCCCGATAAAAAATAAAACACTTTTTGCCTCAAGCCGCCGGATTTCCCTTAACGAACTAAATGTAAATGAACTTACGACATTTTACGAAATCAGGATTATTTCATTTATTTATTAGTGCAGTTATTTATTATGCGGTATGAATTTATATCGTTCTCTCTTGCTTCGCTGTTATCATCATCGTAAATAATGCTACCTCATTCGTATATATGGTGGCTCAGTCGGTGTAGCATATTGCTTTAAATTGGTTATCAAAATTGGGTAACATAATAGAAATTTGTTATACCGACAAGGGATTGCGATTCCTTATTAATGTCGCCTAGAGAGTCCGCTAAAATCGATCCTCCACTCGGGCTAATGCCTGCCTCTATCGATAATCATTCAAAATTCGACACGGGAATCGTCCCTTTCGCTTGCGAATCGTTACCGATAGCAGACCGAGCAGGCGTAAGGACTTTTTAATTGTAACCAGCGAAGAATATACAATAATGCTCTCAATTTTGGACACGACGACTTTGGACGAATCCAATTCACAATTAACGCACACATACGACGCTGGAATTACGATCCTTCACTGCAGGCCATTGCAACAACGTGGCTGACACCGAAATATCCGCATGGAGTCTGTTCGCCGCGAATCGCACTAGTATCAACGAACCTTATCAACGGCCGTAAACATACATATACATACAAAGAAAAGAATAGGTAATGCGTGAGCATGCATGGGTTATGAGCTTTATTTTTTATAATTATTGCAAAGACAAAACGAGACGAATTTTAAAAAAAAACCTATCTCTGTTGCGTGTGAAAACTTTTCATGTAACTCAATATTAATGAATATTATTACTTCAGCATATTTATTTTATTTTATTTTTACATATATTGAGACGCTTCACAATATTTAAAGTTAGGAATCACGAGACTTTTTAAGGATTCTGTGCACTAAGCAGGCGTCTTGATAGGAAACAACACTTGACTTTAAAATTGAATATTCGTAATATATTGTCCCATAAGTTACATGCTAGAAAGTCACTTAATTGCTATCTGATTCTCTCACACGCTCTTATAATTATGTATAGTTTTTGTTATTTTACCACAAGCGACAAGAAGCGTATTTTTCTATCTTTTCCTTATACTAGTTTCTGGGAGTGGAAAAGAGATAGCTAGAACTATAGTACAGTAGATTGTACAATGCGTCCGATGAATGTAGCCTAGCTGATGATTAGGATGATAATGATTCAGAACCCACAGATGGTCATAATGATCTTCGTTTGCTGAATCTATTACCTTTAGGACGCATTTGATTTACAATTAAATAGCTACTAATCACAATGACGTTGGAAACTGAGCTTTTTAAGGATGGACGTTTCGTGTTTGCTCGATTTCTCTCACAGTGCCAGCACAATGATTTTGTTACAGAACATCTACAAGGATAGCAGATTTCCTGATACAGAGATGAGATACAATGCTCCCTGAGATCAAGCATTGCCAAGCATGAGCTCTCACAGTTTGCAGTACAATATTATTCACTGGTTCGCTTTGAAGTGCAGGATAGATTATCGCTATGCACTCGTATGTGGGGCTCTTGGCGTATTCGTAATCGAGAATGGGTATTTATGAAGAAAAAAAGGATAGGGGCTTAGAGGGG